TTTCATCTCCTGCAGACGCCTTCATCGATTGTCCAATGAGGACTCCCTATGGTCTCGATTACTTGCTGATGATTTCGCTCAGGAAATGCTTCCCTGCTCTTCCTCCTCTCCGCGATCCCTCTACAGAGTCCTGTACTCTCTCCCTCTCTCTATCACTCGCTATCTCTGTCTCTCTTCATTTGTCTGTTTGTATGTATGTTTGAATTTGTGAGTGTGGTGGTGGTTAGGTTTGAGAAGGATAGGAAAAAGAAGGAGGCGGCGGAAAAGAGGAGTGTAATGAGGAAAGAGAGTCAAGTGTTCGAGCACTTGAGGAGGATTGGAGAAATCGAGCTGCAATTGGAGGCGGAGACGAAGAGAATGAAGGCTGCCGCTGCTGAGTATTCGAATTTGCGCAAGGCCAGGTAATGTTATTAATACGTTTTCGTACGTGTCTGTAGGTCCTTGTATTTGGTGTGTATGTGAAGTAATTTTGTAGTGAGAAGGGATTTACAGGTTTGTGTATGAGAGGGTTTTATGTTGTTTCGTAATCTGCTGATAAATCATAATTACTTATATGGAAAAGTTGAGCTTGTAATCAGGAGTCACATTTTTGTTGGTAAAAAATAATAATAAAAGAACGACTTTGGTTGACTGCTTTGTGGATTAAATGGCTATTTTCCCTTCTCCTTTTAAGATTTTGTAGAACGGTCTCACTGATTGAATTTTATTTTTTGGGTATTTGCTTTCTTGACACATGCTATCTGAGAGACAGAGTAAAGAATCGCAAGTGGGTTTTCCTTTTTGCTTAGCAAAAATGAAATAGTTGCTCCTTTTTGTTATATGCAATCTGTAGTCTATCAGCATATGTATGTTTGACTAGTAATTGTCTTATAGAGAATTTGAATAATCTTGGATGCAAATTTCGTGTCCATTTCTTCTGCTATTTCATCTCTGTCCTGAACTTGAAGTGCTATTTAGTTCTTCAGTGAGTTCAGCAGGTTTTTTTGGTTAACATTTTTAACTTTTCGGTTCTTATGGGTTTGTTGGTCTCTCAGGCAAGCATCAGTGGCTTTAAATGTATGGCAGCCGGAGATCATCCGCAGTAGACAAAAGCAAGTAGTAGAACAAAATGTTGTTCCTGCAGATGCTCGGCTGCACACACTTAAGATGGAATTGAAACTTTGCAAGCAACAGATAGCCTCTTTCACAGAAGCCTATGTGTGTCTTAATCATATTAGTACTTCTATCACTATTGAGCATGAAAATTTTGACGTGTGCATAATGCTTTTCTATGTATATCATGACAGAGAGACTCAAAAGAAAAGCTTGAAATGGCAAAGAAAGAGTTGCAATCCATGAAATATCATCCTTTAAGAGATCATAACCAGACGAGCATTTCAGACAGTGAATGTAAAATCAAGAAGAAGTTCAAATCAACCGTTAAGTGTAAGACTCTTGAGTTCTTTTCCTGGCAATATTGAATGAAAGTTTAATGTCTGAAAGAAAGGAGATGTTTTGGCTTTTTCTGTTTTCCTCTTCTGGATGCATTTGACTACCTACCTGTATTGTTAGGGGTTGTAAATATCAGTGTGAGCCAACTTCGTTTGTGCATATATTTGTTGTGTTCTTTGCTTCAGAAAGTTATGCTTGGATGCTGTATTTGTTATGAAGGCTATCAAATAGTGTTCTAAATTAGTGCTCTAAATTTTTTCCACACAGTTTGTGAGTACCTAAGAAATTATAAGTAAGAGTTTGTAGGCTTTTGTAGTGGTGCTTTTAGAAAGCTGCTGGCCCTTAATTTTCTTGTAGAAAGTTTAAGTTCCATTAAAAAATACTGTTCAGGATGCCATTGTTGATAGAAAGATTGAATTACCTCTTGCAATTTATAAATTGTAACCTCTATTTCTTATGAATCACAATGCTCTCTAATATTTTCCATTCATTTTTTAACTCTTGCATTGTAGCTCAAATTCTTTTGTAATTAATTAAGAATTTTATAATTTCATTATGTCAAGTAATATATAATTTTAAAATTATGTAATCTGATTGAGACTAATCAAGTAGGATAAACTCCGAAATACTTGTACTCTATTGATAAGTTCTGTATGTTTCCATCTACTTGATAATTTTATGTTTTGTTCTTCTTGGGGCATGTAACTGACGTTACACTGTCCTGTTTATGATATTACAGTTCCGGTGAAAAAAGGATCAGAAAACTATGATACGGATGACCTACATTGGTTGCCATATTGAAGCTGATGTATTATCTTTGCAACTGTGAGCTGCTCATCATTCTCCTGGTATCCTTTGTCGAGTTGTTGGTTGTTGTGTTTGCGACATATAATGGAGCCTCTTGCGGGTTTCAGAGACCATTACTACTTGTTCTTTTTAACTAGTTCAGGTGTTAAGTTGTTTTCTTCACAGAATAATTAAAACTGATAGGCTATTTAGATATAATCACTAGGAAGGAGTGTAAGAAAGGAGATGAGAAGGCGATGCCTTCAAAATATTTAGGTACTTGGATGTTGAATGTATTTATTTGCTTCGAAAATCTGTTACTTTTATGTTTTTATTCTTTTTTTTTTCTGGGTTTTACATCTTTCATATATAATATATATATATATATATATATATGCATATGTCAATCTAAATAGTGTTAAGAGTTGGTGATGGTACTAATATGAGATTTTGGCATCACCATTAGTGCTTTGATGGGGTACTAAAAATCCTTCCCTTCTATTTTCTCAGTTGCTAGGTTAGGCAAGAACTTCAAATAAGGGAACTTATATATATATATATATGTATGTATACATCTATATTAAAAGATTCAGCTATATTTTTAAATCATAATTTGTTCTTAGAGTTGATTTATAGTGTCTTTAATCTTATTATTGAATTGTGTTTTATACAAATTAGACTCTGGAAAATTTATCCAGCCAGCTTATTTTATAGCAATTGGGGCAAATCAAGAATAAACTAATGACAAGGATATCTCTAACTTTGATAAATCCTCCAACTTTTGTCTCCTGATATATATATATATATATATTACTTAATAAAATTTAATTTATTTACATTATAATAATTTTAGTTTGCAATTATAATAGATTATTCTATCACTAAGTTAAAAATTAAATAAATTATCATTATAAAAAATATTCCTGCATTATTTCCATCAATCTCATGATAACATAAAAAATTGTTAGATTAATTTCATATCTTAGTCAAAATCGATAAATACTAATTAAATTTATTATAATCCACAATACTACTAATACGCTAATCTTATTATTATTATCGTAATATTTTTAACTTAAGAATTTAAAATTAATTAATTATTTTGTAAATTTGAAATACAAAAACATATCTGAATTAAAAACTTTAAAAGAAATTATTCAAAATCCCTTAATTATTTTATAAATCCTCCTAATCTTGATAATACAAAAATGTATACAGTTGGGTTTTACTAGTAAAATATAAAAATAAAGAAATTATTTTTTATAAAAATTATATATGACTAAGATATGAAATTTAATTTACCAATTTTTAAATAAATGACTTTTAAACCTATTTATTTTATTTTATTTTTAATTTTGGAAATTTACACAATGACCTTTTGAATAATTAATTAAATAATCTTAAAATGTATCCATTGAAAAATTAAAATCCCAATTTCCATACGCCCCATTGGCTAAACAACAGTTTTCTACCTTTCTCCTTCCTTAAGCCTCTGCTTCTGCTCCACCTCTTCTCTCCAATTCAATCCAGCTACTACCTGCATTCACGAAATTGTCGGATATATACTCTTCCCAGAATCTTCTCAAACTTCTGTCTTCATGACTAGAGCTCGACACTGATCTTATCCTCCCCATTTCCTCCAATTTCATCAATGGCGGCCTCTGTGTTGGCATCGACATCGCCATCGCTGCCGACGTTATCTTCTTCTGTTAGAAAAACCTATCTCAGAAATCTTCAAAACCCCACTGTGTTTCCTTCAATCTCCGCTCGAATTCCTCCTCTCAAGTCAAAAGCACTTTCACCAGGCCTTCCTGTTCCTCCTCCAACTTCACTGAAAGCGTTCCGTTCAGATGGGTTTCCTGGTACGTCTGAGGACACAGAGATATTGGCGCCATTCTCGGAGGAAAACCCTACTAAGTTTGTCTTCTGGGTTTTGTTTTGGGCTTCTCTTTCTCTTGTTTGGTTTGCTGCATCTTCTGATGCTAATGCTGCTGCTGATTCTCTCAAAGCTTCGAGTTTTGGGTTCAAGATTGCTACAAAGTTGAGAAGATTGGGGTGGCCTGACCATACTGTCGTCTTTGCACTTGCTATGCTCCCAATCATCGAGCTTCGTGGTGCAATACCTGTTGGTTACTGGATGAACCTCAACCCTGCAATCCTCACTCTCTTTTCTGTTCTTGGGTTAGTTCCATTTCCTTTCTCTTTTTTTTTTCTCCCCTTAAAATTTGATTAATATTACGTTAGTAATTACATATTCAACGATTTGGGTGCTTTTTCTGTTTGTCATTTGCAACTTGAGAACCATTAAAACTATTCTTCCCTGTTCTTATTTCTCTTATACTTTCATTACTGTACTTTAGTTTAGGGAAAATTTTAATTTAACCCCTTATTGGCATTCAATTTGAAACTTGTGATTCTTTTGAGCAAGTCATTGTTCTTCGTTCAAAAGTTAGTTAAACTCACAGTTTCCTAGCTGCATAAGAGTAAAAAAAATCATTAAACACTGTACTTGTTGAAGCAGCTAGTCAACAAGTTTTGGTAACATCTGAATTACGAGATAGTAAGTTATAAAAAAAAAATCAAATATGTTTTAGATTACAAAATTCAAATGGGTCAAACTGAAATCTGCTCTTTATTTTTTAGATGATTTGTATTTAGGATTGAGGTTAAACATGTGATTAGAAGATCATATCCATGGTTGTATCTAACTCTACCTGGGATAATTGATATGAGATTGAATTTTGACGTATCTTGGGTCCTTGACTCTGTAGGAACATGGTTCCTGTACCCTTCATTATACTTTATCTCAAGAAATTTGCTTCTTTTCTTGGGAAGAAGAACCACTCGGTCTCTCGTTTGTTTCACATGCTATTTGAAAGTGCAAAACACAAGGCTGGTCCTGTCCAGGAGTTTCAATGGCTTGGTTTGATGCTTTTTGTGGCTGTGCCTTTCCCCGGAACAGGAGCATGGACTGGAGCCATCATAGCTTCTATCCTTGACATTCCATTCTGGTCAGCTGTCTCAGCAAATTTCTGTGGTGTTGTATTGGCTGGATTACTGGTGAACTTGCTGCTGAACCTTGGTCTCAAGTATGCCATTCTTACTGGTATTATCCTCTTCTTTGTCTCCACTTTTATGTGGACTATCCTTCGAAATGTTAAGAAGTCTTTGAGCTCATATAATTGATGGTATTGATGGCCTACTTCTCTATCATCTTCATTTCCACCCACATGTTTTTGCTTGTAATGCTGCACAAGTTTACATATGGGTTCTTATGGTTTTTTCAGAATTTTTACCCGTTTCCCTTAGCCAGGACATAATTACATTATTAATGATGATGGTCCTTTTCTAACCATGAATCCAAAGCATCTCTGTCTTGTAAAAATTCCGTATCCTTGAAAAGGAAAAACAAGGAACTTAGTAAGAGACACTTTGTACTACTCGAAATGGTACCTTTTGTCATAAGCAAGAAGAAAGTAAAAGACTCAAGTATGTTAAATGGAATCAGAAATTGTTTAGTTCCTTTTTTGGCTCGGTTTATGTTGTAAGTACTTGTAGTTCAGTACTGTATCTCATGATACAAGAGTTGAGTTAAACTAGCTTTGGGGGATCAAAGAAGAAGATTCCCAGTTTTTGTGTTGGCTATATAAATTCTTCCTGGTGCTACATAGTTGAATAGAAATGGCTAATCATTATGGTACAGTTTATTCATTCATGTTCTCAGAGAGTTTTAACTTGGAATTGGCTAATGTTTTGAATAGTTCAAGGTTAATTATTAATAACGTAATATATGAAGATCCTACTCAATTTTCTAACAGAGATGATACTAATTATTTCTTCATTGGATGGTTGATATTTCGAGGATATGAATTTAAGTCAGTTTGTGTATTTTGTATGTACTTATTAGAAGGTTATAGTATTATTGATTAGCTCGTTATTGATATGCAGGCACCACATAGTTAAAATTTATGAATTTTTACTTTTTTTACCATGTAAGATATAATCTATTTTACTCATCTTATATGGTAGGTTTAATGTTAAATACTAAACTACTATTTAATTCAATAGTTAGTACGTCAATTCTTTTATACGAGATTGTAAATTTAAATATACAGTGCATTTGTGTAAGTTCTTATTTAGAAATTATTTATGCCGTGTTATGATTAGTGTCTTTAAATTTTTATTATATTTTTTCATCAATCAGAGTCTCTTTACTTTTTTTGTATTTTGATATTACAATAGTAAAAAAATAATTTAACCGTTGAATAAAAAAGATTCATTGATTAAGTCCAATTCTTAATGAATATTAAATGATACACTAATATATATCATATAACAAGTGAATGATTATCAAATAAAAAAAAAAGAACAATCTAATGAGTATGTCGAAACAATTCAAGAGATTATGCTCGAGAAAAATCTCATAATTATGTTCAAATTAAAATTTGTTTAGCTTATTATTTTTTATTTTGTACATAAAATTAGGATGGGATCGTTTGGATCGACAATCTGAAGCAATGAGTTGGTTATTTGTGCTTGCTATATCTATTCACTCATGGGATCATCACGATTCCTCTTTTCTCGATAATTCGTATATTCTTTATCAGTGTATGGACAACTAAACACAATAGGAACTAGAAAATCAGATTGGATTGGCTGTTCGGTCCGAATTGGATAAGACCGAATATATTTTTAGTCCAGTATTTGATACTAAAAATTGGAGACTTCAATTTTAGGTTCAAATCGACTCGATTAGGTGTGGATTGGAAAAAAGAAACACACACACACACACACATGGAAAAAAAAGTAAAGAAACACTTGAACACTCCATCTTAATCTGACCCGGCCCAGTCAAATCTAGAAGTAGATTTACACTTGGATTTGCTCTTTTTAGTGGGCTGGACCAAAACTTGAGCTACACTCAAACATTCTATTGACATATGTACATATAATACAATGTGTGTGTATATATATATATATTTGCCATGCTTTTGCTCATTTAAATGTTGTATTTGTCCAAGATCGTCTAATTAATTTTAAAATAAATATATTTTTTTAAATAATCAATGTAAGGTTTCTGATAAATATCGTACAAATTAATTAGTATACTAAATTTGATATCGAAGAAAGATGTTTCTAGTTTTCAGAAAATTAAATAGATTTTTCTCAAAAAACTATATCTACATACATATATATATATATATAAATATAGATTAGGGACTGGATAATTCATTAAAATCCAACTACATAAATATTTGCTGCCAAAATCTGGTAGCCTTCCTATGTTGACAACTCTACCTTTGTATTTTCATATTTAATTTAAGAAATTAGTACAAAAAATTAAATATGTGTGTCGGTTGTCTCCAAAATTACTCACTTCACCCCATAACTTAAGTTTTGTTCGTGATAAAACAGTAATATATAATTGAAAAGTTAATATTTATAAGTAATATAATCGTTACGAAATCACTCTTAATGATATAACAGTTATAAACATGGTAGAGATTTAGAACAAAAATAATCAACATTCATTCATCGTCAATTTGAATCTTCAAAATGGTTAAAAGATTATTAATTTTCCATATCGTAACGCTTAATAGTCATCATTAAATGCATGATGGATCTTATTCAAGACTTATATTGTTTGATGATATCGTGTGATTCATTATAAATATATAATAATGTTGAAATAGTTGTAGAAGTTTTTTCCAAT